TCAACACACTGTGAGTTACACAGTCCATCACTCACCCACTCACTCACCCACTCACCACACTGCGAGTTACTCAGTCAATCACTCACCCACTCACTCACCGACTCACTCACCCACTCACCACGCCGCATATCACAACAAAAGACCCACTCACTCACCCACTCACTCACTTATCCATCCACCCACTCACTCACTCACCCACCCACCCACTCACTCACCCACCCACTCACTCACTCATCCATCCACCCAGTCACTCACTCGCCCAGCCACTCACCCATCCATCCACCCACTCACTCACTCACCCACTCACTCATCCATCCACCCACTCTCTCACCCACCCACTCACTCACTCACCCACCCACTCACTCATCCATCCCCCCAGTCACTCACTCATCCATCCACTCACTCACCCACCCACTCACTCACCCACCCACCCACTCACTCATCCATCCACCCACTCACTCACTCACCCACTCACTCACTCACCCACCCACCCACTCACTCACTCATCCATCCACCCACTCACTCACTCACCCACTCACTCGCCCACCCACTCACTCATCCATCCACCCACTCACTCACCCACTCACTCACCCACCCACTCATCATGTCAGTCAAGTCAACCCATGGCACCTGCCGTTTCTGCCAGCGGGCGTTCGACACTTTCACGCTGCCGCCAAGCGCACCCAGCCTGGCTCCGTTGTCGTCGTGGCGACACCGCCACTCAGTGGTGAATGAAGGATGCTGTTGCTGTTGTTGATGATACTTGATGTGGGACCTACCCGCCACCCCGCAAATCATTATGATGAATGCACGGACGCAGTTACGTCTCTCACCGCCGTTCAGACGGGAACACGAGGTGGCCGTAGCTGCAGTAGCAGCAGCAGGCGGCAAAAGCATCGGCCGTTGCCGTGATCATTTGCGCACTTTGACTGACGTTCTTAGGTAGAGAAATTAAGTTGCGGGGGGGGGGGGGGGGGGGTTGGGGGGGAGGGTCTCCGTCACTGCCATTGCAATGCGGATGCTGTTGCTGTTGTGACCCAGTTTGGTTTTTCGAAGCCGCCACCGCCACCGCCCTCCCAAGTGTCCAATGCGACAAGCGGCGTGGGGATCTCGGGGAAGAAATATCACGAGCGCATGCCACGAATTGAAATTGCTGGCCCTGTCTCTACCCTCCCACAATCAACCACGACCACCACCACCGTCTCCTCTTCCTACTCCTCCTCCTCCTCATCATCATCATCATCTCGTTCATCAGCTGTGGCCTGGATGGAGGGGCCTCACCCCCCCCCCCCCCCACACACACACACCCCCCCACAAAAGCCGCCGCCGCCTCCTCCTCGTCTCGCGATCCCGCGACGCCACCAGCCACCCGAGGCGCTCCTCCGCGCAACCAGACGGGCGACTGCCCCCCTCGTCTCTGGACGTGCGCGCTCAGGACCGCCACATTCCATTCCCTGGCCCGCCGCTCCGTTGCCGCTCTCTGACCATCGACCGGCCGCTCGTAATGGGGGGGGGGGGGACATCGGAAGGTGCCCCCCCCCACCCCCCCCGCCTGTCCTCCCTTCCTACCCGTAGATTCCTAAGCAGACCTCAGGAGTCCTAGGACTCCTAAGCGGATTCATTAGTTTCCGAAGCAGCAACTAAGATTCATAAGCAGCTTTTAAGGTTCCTAAGCAGATTCCTAAGCGGACCCTAAGATCCCTAAGCGGACCCTAAGATTCCTAAGCAGATTCCTAAGCGGACCCTAAGATTCCTAAGATTCCTAAGTTTCCGAAGATTCCTAAGCAGCCCCTAATATTCCTAAGATTCCTAAGCAGATTCCTAAGCGGACCCTAAGATCCCTAAGCGGACCCTAAGATTCCTAAGCAGATTCCTAAGCGGACCCTAAGATTCCTAAGATTCCTAAGTTTCCGAAGATTCCTAAGCAGCCCCTAATATTCCTAAGATTCCTAAGCAGATTCCTAAGCGGACCCTAAGATCCCTAAGCGGACCCTAAGATTCCTAAGCAGATTCCTAAGCGGACCCTAAGATTCCTAAGATTCCTAAGTTTCCGAAGATTCCTAAGCAGCCCCTAATATTCCTAAGATTCCTAAGCAGATTCCTGAGCGGACCCTAAGATCCCTAAGCGGACCCTAAGATTCCTAAGCAGATTCCTAAGCGGACCCTAAGATCCCTAAGCGGACCCTAAGATTCCTAAGCAGATTCCTAAGTTTCCTAAGCAGCCCCCCACGCCCCCCCCCCCCTCAAAGCTACCCGGCCGACCACACCAGGCCTGGTGGATCCAGAGCTGGTGGACGCGGGTGGAAGGAGGAGGGGGCATGGTCGAGACGTGTCGGCCAGAGTGTGTTGTCCTTCCCCCGCACCTCCGATTAGAGTAGTTGGCTACGTACGGTGCGAAAGAAGTTCAACAAACATACGTACATAGAATCACAGACAGAGACCCAGAGACTCACACAGAGACCTATAGACTCACACAGAGACCCATTGACTCACACAGAGACCCATAGACTCACACAGAGACCCATAGACTCACACAGAGACCCACAGACTCACACAGAGACCCACAGACTCACACAGGGACCCACAGTCTCACACAGGGACCCACAGACTCACACAGAGACCCATAGACACACACACAGAGACCCATAGACACACACAGACCCATAGACACACACAGAGACCCATAGACTCACACAGAGACCCATAGTTTGTCGTCCTTCCTCCTATTCAACACGGCTGGCTACATACGGTGCGATAGAAGTTCAACATACGTACGTACTATAAACTTTTTAACGCGAATTATTTGTATTTTACCAGGTAAAGGTCCCACTGAGCTATCTTGCTCTTTTTGCAGAAGTCGACCTGGCTATCACAAATGACAGCTCAACGAAGTTGCTAATCACGTGGAAATCCACAGCAGCCAAAGACCGTACTCGAAAAGCGCGATGTTGATTCTAAATGTGGAGGGCAAAAACCGGATGACCCGGACAATAATCCACGTGACCACGAGGAGAGAGAGAGGCACGAAAACTCCAAATATACAGCAGCAGCAGGCGTCAGGGTCGGGATCGAAACCTACGACCTCCTGCACACCAGGCGACGGAGTTAACACCTCCAACCCACCACGGCGGCTACACACAGAGCAAAGCGGTTGCCTTGGGGCACAGCGAGCGGCGGTAGCGGCGGCAGCGGCCACGCGTCGCGGCTCTGATGAACGGCGGCCGAGAGAGGAAGGGCGGAGGGGCGAATCGGACCATTGGCGTATGCCGACGGCGCTCGGAGGAGCTTGTCGCATTCCGGATCTAATGGCGCTCTCAGTGTCTCTCCCACTCCCCCTCTCTCTCTCTCTGTAATGACGCCAACGCCGCCGCCGCCGCCACTTAGCCGAATCATTCGGCGACAGAGATGGAGGCTCCTCGGGGAGGGCCCCAAGTTAGCGCGTTGGCTTCGGTGGGGGGGGGGGGACGCAGCCAGCCTCGTTACCTTCCACCACCACCCCCCTCCCTCCCCTGGGAGGGGGGTGGTGGTGGTGGAGAATGAGCGGGGGGTCGGGGTCGGCAACATCGGACAGGGGACGCGGGGAGGAGACGACAACCTCGTTAAAGACGGAATTAGGGAGACGATTGTTGCCGTGTACCCACCACGCCAGCCGCCTCCGGGTCACCGTGACGGGCGCGGTTTTCCCAACGGTCCGGCGGTTGAGTGGCTGCCGATAGGGCGTTTTGGTTTGTTCGGCACCGTGTTCGACGTTTCGCGCTCTCTCTCTCTCTATCTCTCTCGCCACGTGCCGGCAATCTTTTTATCTTCTCCTAAGAAGTGAATTGCACGGCGGCTTTAGGAGCAATCGCGCAGCGTTCAAACCGGAGACACCATATGATGTATAACCCGATGTATATCCATGTACACCCATATAGTCCCACGCATTCCCATATATACACACACACACTCATGTATACTAACGCATTCCCAAATATTCCCATGCTTTCATAAAATATTCCCATGTATTTTCACGTACACCCATATAGTCCCACGCATTCCCATATATATACACACACACTCATGTATACCCTACGCATTCCCAAATATTCCCATTCATTCCCATATTTGCCCATGCATTTTCACGTACACCCAAATATTCCCATGCATTCCCATATATACCCATATATATTTATACCCATGTATAACCATGCATTCCCATATATACCCATATATACCCATATATATTCCCATGTATAACCATGCATTCCCATATATACCCATATATACCCATATAATATATACCCATGTATAACCATGCATTCCCATATATACCCATATATACCCATATATACCCATGTATAACCATGCATTCCCATATATACCCATATATACCATATATATTCCCATGTATAACCATGCATTCCCATATATACCCATATATATTCCCATGTATAACCATGCATTCCCATATATACCCATATATATATTCCCATGTATAACCATGCATTCCCATATATACCCATATAATATATACCCATGTATAACCATGCATTCCCATATATACCCATATATATACCCATGTATAACCATGCATTCCCATATATACCCATATATATACCCATGTATAACCATGCATTCCCATATATACCCATATATATACCCATGTATAACCATGCATTCCCATATATACCCATATATATACCCATGTATAACCATGCATTCCCATATATACCCATATATATATACCCATGTATAACCATGCATTCCCATATATACCCATATATATTCCCATGTATAACCATGCATTCCCATATATACCCATATATACCCATATATACATTCCCATGTATACCCACGAATTCCCAAATTTTCCCCACGTGTCCCCGTGCATTCCCAAATGCCCCCCCCCCCCCCCACGGTACACTGCCATCGACGTAATCACCCGCGCGTTCTCGCGTGAACGACGGGCAAAAGCCTCCACCACCCCCTCTCTCCCACCCCACCACAACCCCACCCGGAAGGTCGGCAAGTGGGAGAACGAGATGCTGGCGCTCAAGTACCCGATCTGGCCGCGGTTCGGAAAGCCTCCGTCGGGCGCCGACGATCGCCACCTGAGCGTGGCGACCCTCGAAGAGGAGCCCTTCGTCATCGTGGAAGACATCGACGCCGTCATGGGCAACTGCCTGCGCAACACCGTTCCCTGCCGCCAGCAGACGCGCAACATCGGGTGGGTTGCGACGCGGGCGCGCTCGCCCCACCGTCGATACGCGCGTCCACACGCTAACGCATTCACCACCACCACCACCACGCACCAACACCACCACCACGCACAAACACCACCACCACCACGTGCGTCCACACGCTAACGCATTCACCACCACCACCACCACGCACCAACACCACCACCACGCACAAACACCACCACCACCACGTGCGTCCACACGCTAACGCATTCACCACCACCACCACCACGCACCAACACCACCACCACGCACAAACACCACCACCACCACGTGCGTCCACACGCTAACGCATTCACCAACACCACCACCACCACGCACCAACACCACCACCACCACCACGCACCACCACCACGCACAAACACCACCACCACCACGTGCGTCCACACGCTAACGCATTCACCACCACCACCATGCACCAACACCACCACCACCACCACGCACCACCACCACCACCACGCACCAACACCACCACCACCACCACGCACAAACACCACCACCACCACGTGCGTCCACACGCTAACGTATTCACCACCACCACCACCATGCACCACCACCACCACCACCACGCACCAACACCACCACCACACACCAACACCACCACCACCACGTGCGTCCACACACTAACGCATTCACCACTACCACCACGCACCAACACCACCACGCACCACCACCACGTGCGCTCACGCTAACGCATTCACCACCACCACACATCACCACCACTACCACCACCACCACGTGTACCCAGTCAACTCACTCCACTTGTGAGGCCGGCTTCAACTATAGGCAGCAGCAGCAGCAGTGACTGAGACACGGATTGGAACCCAGGCTCCCAGCGGTCTAAGCTGAGCAAGCGACTCTGACCCCTGAGCTACGCGACCTCCTCTCCCGTTGCCCAGCACTGAGGAGCCCCCCCCCCCCTTCGAGCCCCCCCCCTCCTCAGAGTCCTTCCCTCGGAGAGCCCCCCCCCTTGGAGCACCCCCACTCTCGAAGCCACCCCCCCCTTTGAAGCCACGCCCACTCCTCCCCCTCGGAGCCCCTCCCCCCCGGGAGCTCAACCTCCCCCCCAGAGCTCACCTTGGAGCCCTCCCTGGAGCCCCCAACCCTACCCAAGTCCCACAACCCCCCCCTCCTCCGCACCCCCCTCCCCTCGGAACCCACCACCCAAGCCCCCCCCCCCCCCCCCCGTTGTGCCGCCGGCGATCGTTTCGGAGGAGTGGAGATTCGGAACGGCGACACAAAATGAATTAGCGTGGGGCGACCGCGCAATTGTGGCGATGCAGACAGTCGAAGCGAGGAGGGCAGAGCAAGTACGGGAGAATAAATAATCTGTAATGGGGGGGGGGGGCGAGGGGGTGTAGGGGGGAGGGGAATGGTTGAATACAATACAACTCATTAAAGAATTAAGTGGTGTGCGCGCGTACGATTTGTGTGCGCATGCATAGGAACGTTTAACGAGAGAGTGTCTCTCTCTCTCACTCTCTCACTCTCTTTCGGCCCTAATTAATTTAGCGCGCTGTCTCGCGTCCAGATCTTCGATCGCCCCCCTCCCCCTCCCCCGTGCGGAATTCGGTTGAAAGGAGCCACCCCCCACCACCACACCACCACCACCCCCATCACCTCCCCCACCACCTCCCCCCACGCTCCTTCTCAGTTGAGCTACCGAGGGTCACGCTGACCAGCAGCGTGACGCGACACCCGAAGCAATGGGGAGCGATGTGCGGTCACACAATGGAGGGATCCAATCGGCGTACCGCTGGGGAATGGAAACGAATTCCGCGACGAATCCGCGAGCGACGCGGGATCTCGTTCCGTTCCTCCGCGCGTAAAATAATAATAATAATAATCATCATCATAATAATGTCAACGTTTTTATTATTTTTATATTCGATCAGAATCAGAGTAATCTTTGTGTGTTTTTTTCGGTTAAAGTCACGTAGGTAAAAAAATATAATCAATCAAATAAAATGAAAACAACTCAATTAAATCACGACGTTTCGGAGGCAACGCAAGCTTCCGTCTTCAGGTGGAAACCGTCACAGCAAAATTGCTGTATCAAGTGAAGAGAGCTCTATGATACCCGAGATTATATACAGGTTAAGGGGGGGGGGGAGGAGCCAGGAAGGGCCGTGGGGGGCGGGCGGCAGGGGGGGCTAAGTTATTGATACTGCAGGGTAGTGGGGATTCAATATATAACAACAACAACAAAAAACGCTGTTCACTCCGCCCTTGACCCGAGTGGCTCTTGACCTCAGCACAATCTCGCATGAGTCTTCGGATACTCTCAGGTCAGGTCATGCCTAGCGTTCCACCTCCACCCGCGCTGCTCACGCGTGTCTTGAGCTGGAGCGAACCAACGGGCACGCCGATTGGATCGCACTAATGTGCACTAATGTCTGTCCGTTGTACCCACAATTGCACCCAATGCACAAACGAGAGGAATTCGATGAGCTTGGAGGTTATTTTTTTTTTCTATCACAGATGTCCAGCGAGGTGCACGGGGGGAAGAACGTTACAACAACAAACACGATAGTAGGTGCAAAGTAGAATGAAAGTAAACAAAACCGTCCCCATCCTACCAGGCGAGGCCCACTGAAGTATTCACTTAATGTTCACAAGCGACCTGGCCATTGATGATAGCTCAACAAAGTGGCTTATCGCGTGGACATTTATACCACTGACACATTCCTGCGGAAGGAGCTGGTAGTTGGAACGTTGGGTTGCTCGGTCAATGGCCAGGGTCAACGGCGGCACCACCACGTGGTGTATTCCGCACAATATGCCCGACTGTGAGGGCGGGCACAAGCCGGGGTGAGTAGGTTAAACGTTGAGTTTTATAAGGGCACCACGGGGTGACCAGCCCCTCCCCACCCAGCCCCACCCCTCCCACCCCCCACCCAGCCCCTCCCCTCCCCACCCAGCTCCTCCCCACCCTCCCCTCTCCACCCAGCCTCACTCCTTCCATGTTTGGATGCACGACGTACGGACGGACACAACAATAATCCCCTGTGGGCTGGTGGTGTAGTAACCAGGAGGTTCCTACACAGTAAAATACAGACCTGGCAACCCATACGGTTTAGCCGTATTCCTGTACATGGAAATTGAGTAACACAAATTGTCGATTTGTTTGTGATGGGACTGTGCGGGATGAACGTTGAGATTTGTAAGGGCAACGGGGTGACGAATGAGGTCTGAATGTGTCTGTAATAAGGGGGCCGTCCATAAATGACGTCACGCACCTGGGGGGGGGGGGTGGGGTCAGACATTTGTGACGATGTGTGACGAGGGGGGGGTGGGGGTTGAGAAATGTGACGTCACATCAAAATGCGCAACTTTAAATAAATACAGACAACACGTTCTACTTAATTAAATAGACTTTTTTATTAAATATTTTCTCCTACAACATCAGAGTGCAGCGCCACATTAAATACGCACTACAATGACAATAGTTTAAAGCGATTTGAAGCGTGTTTTATTTTTTTTGGGGGGGGGGGGCGGCAGAGCTGCTTTGTGACGTCATATTTTAGGGGGGGTCTGACTTTTAGTGACGCCGCGTGACGAGGAGGAGAGGAGCGGAGGGGGGGGGGGGGGGTCAAAAATCGTCCAAAATCGCGTGACGTCATTTACGGACGGCTCCTAAGGTAGTGGCACTGACAAGGGGTTGACAGGCGTGACTATAATCTCAATGCACGAATTCCGCGCTCGAGTTGCCTGAAGCAGCTCGAGCGCCACCCATCCTGGCAGGCAAAGCGCCCTGCCGAGCTATTCTCGACTTGCGCGCCTGTAACGCGTCCCCATCAGCCGCCACGGCCCTCCCCCCTCTAAGCGAGCGCATCGCCGCCGCCGCCGACGACGCATCGCAAGCGTCTTGTCGAACCTCGCAAAGGCAAGACGACGACACGTGAAGTGCTCCTCCCGATGGGAAGAGGCCCCCCCCCCCCCACCCCCCACCCCCCCCCCCCCCCACCCACCCCCAGTTCACTTGCCGTGTGTTTGGTGAGCGAGTTGCGCCGTGATGCCGTTGCCGCTGACAGGTAACCTTAAAGCAAGAGGCCGGGATTGTTGTTGTTGTTGTTGCTGCTGTTGCTGCTGCTGCTGTTTCGTCACCGAATGCCGAATTCGTTGCCCGAGCCTCGGTTATTAAGCACGCGCGTGCGTTTGTGGTTTGGGTTGGGGAGCGGTGGTGCAGCGCTGCGAAACCGGCGACCCCGAGTTCGATTCGCGCTCACGGCCAACAGCAAGTGACGATTGTTTGAACCGCTCCTGGGCCTCCCCTAGGTCGACTCGGCCTCAAATGAGTATCCTTGTGCGATGTGTAGAACCTGGCCACGAGGGAGACAAAGACGGCCGGGCGTGGTGCTGGCCACCCACCCCCTTCGTGTACCGTGCAGGCCTTCATAGGTGCACGCTAGCAGCACTTGCCCCAACAGTCTGTTAAGGCTATACGGGGGGTTCTTTGTTTTTGTGTGCACGCGTGTGAGTTTGTGGTTTGGTTTGGGGAGCGGTAGTGTAGTGGTTAGCGCTGCGCTGCGCTACGAACCCGGCGACCGAAGTTCAATTCCCGCTCACGGCCACCACCGTTGATGATTATCTGAACCGGTTCTGGGCCTCCCCTAGGTCGACTCAGCCCTCAAATGAGTACCTGGTGCAGTGTGTAAACATCGCCACTGGGGAGACAGACGCGGTCGGGTGTGGTGCTGGCCACCCACCCCCTCGAGTGCCGTTCGGGCCTTCATAGGTGCTCGAAAACAGCACTTGTCCCAACATTCTGTTAAGGCTCTACGGGGGGATCTTCGTCTTTGTTTTGTGTGTGGGGAGCGGCAGTGTAGCGGGTTAACGCGCTGCTGCGTCACGAACCCACCGTTCCCCGAGTTCGATTCCCGCCCACGACCAATTAAATTGGCGAATGTCAGAACCGGTCCAGGTGGGTCCTCCACTATGTCGACTCAAGACTTAAATTACTAACTGGTTATGGCGCATAAAAAAA